CACAGGGGTCGCCTAAGACCATCGGAAAACAAAAAGATATTTACATTACGATTCATAACAGTAGCAAAATTACAGTTATAGGGTAGTAACGAAAATAATTTTATGGTTGGGAGTCACCACAACATGAGGAACTGTATTAAGGGGTTGCGGCATTAGGAAGGTTGAGAACTGCTGTGTTAAATCCTATGCCTCCAGGCGCAGAAAAAGGACAGTGGAGCATGTGTGCATCTAGTTATAGGAATCCCAGCTTGGCAGGGCAGAAAAATCTCTTCATGGACCAGCTGCTCTCCTCATTCTCTGTTGAAACGAAAACTTAGGCCCCCAGTAGGATGACCCTAAGGCCAAGACAAACAAAAATGAGTGGGTTCTTGGCTTGTGAACTTACAAAGGGAGGTTCTAGTGATTTCAAGGCTGTTCCAAGGTCATCTGAGCTATCCACCAGCCCTGCAGGCCGAATTAGACTTATACCCTAGAGGAGATATGGCTCCACCATGCAGAATGGTGGGAGGCTAGGTGCGTTCTTATTTTTCTCTTGTTTTGGTGCATGGGTGGACATTTTCCTTTATTGCTGTTTTACAATTTTAAAAATGGTTTGCAGAGATGGTGCCTGTTCCTCAAGCCTCGTCATGTGCGTACCTCTTCTGTGCAGCTTCTCCTGCTTAGCAGACAAAGCTTCCTTTGCACTCACCTAGCCTGTCACACACTCTACTTCTTATTCAACAAATGTTCACAGAGACTCTACCAGCTGCCAGGCTCCCTGTTCTCTAAGGATTTTATGTGAATCTAGCCTTGAACTTTGGCTCTGTGTGAGTGTGTCTTATGGACCTTCTGTAGGACTACCCAGAGTCAGGCCTACCTGCCTTATTCATCTGTATGTGCTATGCATGCAGGACCTTGTGCATAAAAGGTAATACCACCTTTGCTGAACTGGACTCAATTGAATATTTTGCATAAAAAATGCTCATTTCGGGCATAAGCACGCCACTGCTGATTACCACTATCTTCTGCTTGATCTCATCAAGAAATCAGCTAAGAATGCAATGGTGGTTATGTTTTAAAAATGCTTATCAGTGAAAGATGCATGCTGAAATATTTCATGGTAACATGATAGGGTGTCTGAGATGTGCTTTAAATTTTTCCAGAGGAAAAAAAAAAGTATTTGATCATTGTTGAAGCTGGTGGGTGTTTCTACTTCTGTGTAAATTTCTCTGTAAATTCTGTTCCAAAAAGTTAAAAACAGGGGCAGCCAGTTAGCTCAGGTGGTTAGAGCACAGTGCTAGTAACACCAAGGTGCCAGTTCGATCCCCACATGGACCACTGAGCTGCGCCCTCCACAACTAGACTGTAACAACTACTTGACTTGGAGCTGATGCGTCCTGGAAAAAACACACTGTTCCCCAATAAAAAAATTTTTTAAAGTTAAAAACAAACAACCAATTGCACCCACCCCGGAAGCCCTGTCACAGAGCTGAGGCCAAGCTAAGCGTGACGTTGCTAACATTCTGAGAAGCAAGAACCTGCTCCCTAGTCCGGCTCCCTGGGTGGCACCTGCTCATATACACACCACCTCCTGAGGCTACGGCCTCCAACAGTGTGAACCCCATTTCCAGGGAAAGACTACGGTGTTTGAGCATGGGTCACGAAACTCCGTGGTTACGACTTTTAAAACAATGAAAAGCTATCAGAATCACTAGCTAATCTGTAAAAGCAGGTATTTTGTGCCTCTTGTGTGCAGGGACCCAACTGCAGGTTTTCCCATAGATCACCCCCTTCCATTTGCACAGTTCTGTAAGGAGGGTATTATTACCCCCATTTGACGACGATAACAACTGGCATTTATGGAGGCCAAGTACCATGCCTTACACTCCTCTTGCACTCTCCCTTAATCTTTCTAACAACCTTATGAGATAGATACTACTTTCATGTACATTTTCTAAGTGGAAACAAACAGACAAACACCAAAGCCCAGAGGTGTTGGGTTCAAAGTAAGGTCTTGCACAGTGTGTATGAGTAGAAATCGAGGAGGAGCTTCGGCTCCGAGGCCTGGCTCCCACCAGGACCAAAGTGCACAACCTCATCACACACCCGGTTAGTAACGCTTTCGCAAAGCCGGCCGCATCCCAGAAGATAAGAGTGATGACATCCGCCGAGGCACTAGCCCTGAACCGTGTACAACTGGGCCATGTTCTAATACCCTCTTTGAAGCTGACTGAACTCGGCAGAGCTAATTAGCTGAACAGGGTGCATGCTCGAGTTAAAGGGAACGGGATGAGGCACCTCCTCGCTCTGCTGATGCATTTTAATTATCTTGACTAGGGCAGGTAGTAGTATGGAGGCAGCTGAGCACGCTGACTACTGTCAAAGAGTTGTCACTACCACATTTGTATAGAACAATGAAATATTCTCTAACACTTAAACCAGGCAAGCTATAAATAAGGAACTCTTATTTTGGGGGACACACTTGACCCCACCTCAGTAGAACCATTATTATTTTGAGGTTCTATTCAACATCAGCTGTGTCAGAGGACTAAAGACAAAAGCATTGGCATTGGACAGCCATGCCCCACACACAAAGTAAGCTCGTGTGGTTTTTCTCTCATCTTCACTCAACCCCTCCCAAAGAAAGAAGAATAAATCATCAGATTTGAGGATGGGGACAGGAAAGGGGCTGGGTGTGGTCAGCTTAACCTGCTCTGCGTGGGAGCAGTGCTTCCAGGACACTCACATTCCTGGTCACCCTGGTCCCTCCATCCTTAAGACGGACTCCTACGTCATAGCTGGTAAGACCTTGCTTGGTGGGGAGGAGTATGTCACCCCTTGACCGCCCCCCTCCAACACCAGTAACTCATCATCAGCACCATGAAAATGTACTGAGCACGTTAAGTCCCAGGCATGTGCTAAACACTTGGATACGCATTATCGCAGGACACCAAGAAAACCACAGCTTAGAAACCTTCGGCGACCTGCCCACGATAACACACCTCGCAGGTGGGGGAGCAGCTTTCCACGCTTACTACCCCCCGCATTCTTCTTCAGCCTTCAGACATAATCCTGAGCAGGCAGCTAATAAGAGCTGCCTATAAAGTCTAAAGATCTAAATTGCATCTCCTCTAGATGTTACAGAACCTCGAAGTCTCCACTAAGTCCTTAGCAGACTAACAGCTCCTTCTAAAGAAAAATAATTACCTTCCTCGCTGGCACACGGCTGGAAGAGGGGACGGGCCACTCGTGGGGAAGAATGCCAATCAGGTCCTTAAGCCTGAGCCGCAGAACTCGCTCTGCTTCCTTCTTCCTCCTGCGGCTCTCGAATCTGAAGCCCCTGACCACCGCAGAAGCCTGGTCCTGTGGGGCAGAGGGCTCAACCCTGAATTGAATAGTATCCCACTCTTGCCAATGGCTCATTTAAGACATCTGATAGCAGAGAGAGATGGCTTCATATGCAGATTAACTCCCCATGCCTCCAGATTCTCGATAGTTTTAGCCACAGAGCACACTGGCTCAACACAAAGCAACATTTGTCCTCCATCCTAACTCGGCTTCTTCCAGAAACTCCTTCACACACTTAAGATTTATGCCCTCAGCTTCTACAGAGAGTGGATATAAGAAACAACCGTTTAAACGATCACTTAGGGCCTTTTGTAAAAGAACAGTTGAAAGCACTGTCCATTATGTTACCCAGTGCCCCTGAAATAAAAAAGCACATGATAAATTATTTTTCTTTAAAATAAGAAAAAGTTTGTCTCTCTGAAAGAGCTTGTTTTCCTTCATCTGAGGAGAGCGGTAGACTCACATTTCTTTTTGCTTCAGCTCTTCAAAACTTCAGAGGCAGATTCAGTGCTCAAATGAAGTGACGAATTCATCCCAACTACCTTGCAATACCTATTCTTTGATTTTTTTTTTTTTACCTTCTTTGGTGTTGATTTTATTTTTTTTGTCTCCTGCTTTAAGTTGTGCTTCATTTTGCAAGCCAACCTGAATCTTTTTTTTTCCCTTCAAAAGTCGGACACAATCCAACATAAAGCAGGCTTTTTCTTCCCCTCTCAAAAATCATCGTGGTCCCCCCCAGCTGCTGTGAGGGCTCTGGGACTTGCCAGGCCCATTCACATCACGGCCCTGATTTGTCTGGCTAACACGATGGAAGATTAGAAGACTCCAATCAGCTTCAGTCCCTCGTTTACTCAGAGTACCCAAGGGAATAAGGACAAGAACGGCTCAGCTTTTTGGACTCTCAAAGCCAAAAATGTTTCCACATAAGATAATAATACTTGAGACAGATTCTACTTAAGATGACAATACTTAGGACAGACTTGACCCAGGGCCGTAATTCTCTCTAAGCCATTCTAAACATTTATTTTGAAATAAAACAAGCATTAATTACGGTGATAGAGTCTATTTCCCAAAGATGACCGCAGCAATATTTCCCAGCGATGTGCCACTTTGTAATGTGCTACTTTTCCATTAAGAGATGGGGTCTTTTCCTCCACCCTCTTCAACTCCAGCAGACACTGTGACGGTTTTGACCAACAGGAAACAGTGGAAGTGACACTGCGCCAGTCCCAGGGATAGCTTTTAACTGGCTGGTCACTTCTACTTCCTGCTACTTGGAAGCCAGTCACCATGTAAGGAGTGGGACTACCCTGAGAAGACTGGGCTGTGAGAAGCGCAAGCCATGTGTAAAGGGCTGAGGATAAGGTGCCATGTGAGGACAGGGAGAGAGAGGTCCAGGAGTATGGTGACATGTGCATGGCAAAGCCATGTGGAAGGGAACCTCCAGTCCTGCCTGTCCCAGCTGACGCCATGTGTATCAGGGACAAACTCCCTTGAATCCTTCCTAATTCCCGACCCCCAAAATCACAAGCAAAATAAAAACCGGTCGTTTTCAGGTGGGGATGGGACAGCACCTCACTCATAAGGTTGCTGTGGGGATTAACTATCTAATGCATGTAAAGCACCTTAGCCCAGTGCCTCGCACACAGTAAGAGTTAAAAAAAAAAAGTGGTTATAATTTTTAATCTCTCAGGTGGCAAAATTGAGACTTTTGTGTAACACTTGCATAGGGAACCAACTTTCTCAAGAACTCCTTTATGACGCCATTCCACAGTCACACAACGTTAAGATGACCTCTATAAACAAGGTACTCGGCAGGTCATCTGTCTTCCTGTCTTTCTTGGCCACCTCCCCAGTTGCATGTGGTATGGCACCCACACACATATGCATACATGTTGTGTAGCGAGAGACTCATATAGTGTCGGGCCGGGCCCACCAGCTTCTGCGCAGAGAATCCAATCAGGAGGCCCCGGAGGAAGGTCTGCTGCTGTCCTCATGCCTGACTCGTGCCTAAGCAGCTGTCATGGTGGGAGTAACAGTACAGGGAAGGAGGAGACTTACGAGGAAGAAAGGAGAAGAAAGCAGTCAGTTTTAAACCACTGACACTCCTCGCAGATTTCCCCGGTCTCTGAATACTCTCTGAGCGGAACATCATTGCTTTCTTGGCAATTCCTGTTTTCCTACGCACACATTTTATTTTAACACTGCCCATGTGCCCGGTGCTGGTTTATCTATCCATCTAGCCCATGTGGACGGAGTGCTTATTCTGTGCAAAGCGCTGCGCAGGCGTAGGGCTTGGCGTCAGGCAGGGAAAAGCACACTCACCCCTTTTGTGACAATGGTGCTGGCACTTCGCAGAAAAGCAAACAACTGGATCCTTAGGATAAGAACTGAACCTTTTCCCTACAATTCAAGTCTCTTTACGTCTTCCCTCTTTGGGGGAACGCAGACACCAGCAAATCCCTTCCAGTTAAAAGGGCCCCGTTCCCTCCCTGAGCTCCCTTCCCGTTCTCTGCCAGTCCCTGCATGCCCCCAGGGTATGCCGGGATCAATGCAGCAACACTTCAAAGAGGCCCTCAAATTGGAGTGCAGGCAGCACTTTCCAAAAAAAAAGAAAAACTGTGTGAGCTGTGATTCTAAGTTGGAGGGGGAGGGGTTACCAAGAGCCCGAGCTGGGGTTTGACAGTATCACACAATGCACCGAGGATCAGTGCTGTGAGACAAATTCAGCTCCAGAGATGAAAAATCTTCCTTTGGTGCTGACAACATCTGTTTTATTTTGAAGGTTGCTAAGGAGAGCTCTAGCTGGGCCAACATTGTTCCAGTTCAGTACTTCATAGCGAGTCTCTTGCGTGGGGTGCAGACGGCAAGAATGAAAGCTTGCCAGATAGACCCTGCTCCTTTCACTTTCCGGAGATCAGAGAATCGCTAGGCTCCCAGGGGTGACCACACCCTGCCTACTCTCACTCTGAAGTGGACATACCTTCCGCACACTCTCTTATTACTCTTCTTGTCCCTGCCGGCTCTGTCCCCACTTGCCAGCTCCCCATCTCTGGCAAATAAAGGCGTATTAGGAAGAAACAGATCCACTAACCCAGGAAGAGCTAAGTGTGAGTCGGGGGTCCCGGCAGGAGGATGTGCGGCACCAGACGAAGGGCGAAATAATTTCCTGGCCTTTGAAGATGTTCTACCTCCTGAGAATCAGAGCCACGCCACATGCCTCCAACAGGGCTCGGGACAGTCCTGGGACAGCCGAGAGCTCGGGCTCAGATCAGAGAGGAGTTTGGCTGGGAGGCCCGTCTCTATTTTTGCGGTAACGGAGGCGGGAAGCGAGGCACTCCGCACTCCACTAGACCCAATCCTGCCTCAGTTTACTTGCAAATAATTACAAGGCAGTAGCAAAAATTAGGAAACGTTAGCCTTGCAGGGCAAGCATTTAGGACAATAAGAGATGGGGAAGATGACAAAGGTAAAAGGGGAGGACATGACAATGATCTCCACCTATGCGACAAATGGTTATAAATGGGTGGCAAGGCGGTCAATGGCTGAGAGGCACCCTGTTCCTCCAGCGGGGGAAGCATACCTGGGTGAGCGCCCACCCCGAGGGCTGGGGAAGCAGCAAGGCCCTTGCATTTAACTGGCATCTGCAAATAAAATCATTTTGGGATTCCAGGTCATTCCGTGAAAAAAAACGCATTCCATTAAGTGCAGGAATTCTTTCTGCACTGGGCCTTAGCACCTAAGAGTCTAGGCGAAGGAACGGAAAACCCGCAGCGTTCCCCTTCCACAAAAATCCACTTCCAAGAGCCATTCAGAGTCTCCACAGCAAAAGGAAACTCTATCCTCTCAAACGAGGGTATTGAGACAACGGAGGCCACATTATCTAAACATTTCCCTTGCCTGCCAGATTCGATTTCAGCCAGTTTTGCTTCCCCTCCCCCCACCCTCCCTGCAGCTTGGGATCTGTCCAGGCTAAAGTACGCTTGTCCTGACATCAAGAACACCAAAATAACATGAAGCACACAGGGCTCGGGCTTCCCTGCTATCCCCGAGGAGGGAGTAAGCCGGAGAGGCTAGGAGCCATCCTGCAAACCACTCACCCAGCCAGATCACATCCACACCGGCGGGAACAGACACGGCCGCTGCCACCTTGTGCCAGCTCCTGTTGTGCCCCGGTGCCCAGAGCGCCACATGGCAGAAATAGTAGCCAGAGTTTTCCCTGCTGACATCTCGAACCAGTAAACGGTAGGAGCGCAGATCCACGTGACTCAAAGTGACGTGAGGGGAGCTGTGCACCAGAGAATCACGGTCCAGCCGTGCCAGCACATGGGGGCCAGGCACAGTGCTGTCGGGCGTCCTGCTGAAGTACCACGTCACCTCGGGTCGGACGTCATCCGCTCGGTCTGTCGTGATGTTGCAGGTCAGGTCCAGCTCCTTTCCTTCAGCCACAGACGCATTCCTGCCCACAGCTGCTCGCAGAACTTGAAAATGAAAAACAAACACATTTAGATAATTTGCATTATGTTTTCCCCTTCCACACGCCCCCCACCTTTAGATCATTTCCTTTTATGTTCTGATTTATAGCCTTAAAGTTAGAAGGTTTTGTTACAGCTGCAAGTGCTTGAGAAATATTTATTGAATGAATTAATGAAACATGTCACATTTCTTGTTATTTCATAAAAACAATAATAGCAGCAAACACTATATGCCAGGCACTGTTCTGAGTATGTATTAATTTATATGGTATAAATATTAATTGTCAAAACAACCCTGAGAGGTCGGTACTATTTAGTATTACCTCCATTTTACTGATAAGGAAACTGAAGCACAGAGAACTTCAGTAACTTTCCCAAGGTCACACAGCTAGCATGTGGCAGAGCTGGGACTCAAATCCAGGCCATCTGCCTCAGGGCACTCTGCTCTAAACTGTAACACTATCGTCTGAAAACTGAACATCGTAAACTAAAATTACACTTTCTCCATGTGCATGAGGAGACCTGGGTGATTTTACAGAGAAAGGACAGTTCAGTGCTGACTGGTACATATTAGTTGGAGACTAGGGATGGAGGTGAGAGGCTGGAGTGTAGGAGGTGAGGGTGAAACCATCTTTTGGGTAAAAGAGGGGAAAATCCTAACCAAGAGGGGCCAGAAAGTGAAACCAGACAATATGCTTTATGAGTCAAGTCTTTAATACGCAATGTACTCAGAGCATCATTTATTCCATTGGATGCACCACCTTCAAGTTAAGCATAAAACATCATTCTCAAACCAAAACAATGATGTGTGGATTATCATGCCACTGCGCTCTCTCATTAGTGAGGATTAAAAGTACACTATATTTAGGTGAAGCCCTGAAGTATTGGGTGCCACAGTCACGAGGTAGATGTGGTCCAGCATTCCCTTGTCACAGCTTTTTACATGGAAACATTTTAGTTTGTTTGGGGTCGGGGGAGGGGTGTAAAAAGAAGTTGCCTCTTTTTCGCCGCCGTCGTAGGGCGTGCAGTTGACTCTTCCTCGCCATGTCTTCTCACAAGACTTTCAGGATCAAGTGATTCCTGGCCAAGAAACAAAGGCAGAATCGGCCCATTCCCCCAGCGGATTCGCATGAAAACTGGTAATAAAATCAGGTACAATTCCAAGAGGAGACACTGGAGAAGAACCAAGCTGGCTCTGTGAAGAATCGCACATGAGAGGGCACCACATATTTATGCTGTGTCAGGGTTGCTTGGATCTTAACCACAGCACGGGAAAGATCGCCACTATCTGAACAGTTGGGTGTGTTTTATTGGGAAATTATGGGAAAAATGAGTTTTCTCTTAATATGTTTCTGCACTAGCAGGTTGGTTCAGTAATAAATATGTGAGGCCTTCTAAAAAAAAAAAGTTGAACATCTGTAATCAGAGTAGAAAAGCATTTAACTCGTGGTAATGCTCTGGGAACAGCTGTTTGGATGACACACAGCCAACACCTCCCAGGGGTTCAAATGGAGACACAGTCCTGGTCTTCCAGCAAGAATCACTCAGCTTTAGCTGGAGTCCTGAGCAGCATCAGCGACAAAGTCCAGTTCAGAAAAGACCCCACCCCAAACCATGCCCTCCGGAGTGAATTGCTTTCATATGAATAGTCTAAAGCCTGACAACATTTCAAACAAGTATTTCAGGCCAAGTTCAAGACCCACCTTGATGAAGACGGAAAATGAGGTGGGCGCAGTCATTTAAAAAAGGGATGTAAGGTCTAATTTCTCACCTCCACCCACACTCCAAATTCTTCTTCCTCCTTGACTCTTTTAAAAGTAAGTGGAGGGTATCTGTTGAGAGTCAGTATGGAAACAATTGCCCCGAGCCTGTGCTGCAGTTTCAAGCTTCCCACCTACGAGGCCTGTGCTCAGAGACCCTGCAATACTGCTGCTGGAGGCCCCCTGTGCCAGCTCCCAGCTACTGGAGGTAAAACAAGGCTCAGGGGGGAGCCAGGTGAGCGAAGAAGTGGTCAGTATGCAGGTGTGGACTGCATGTGTGGAGAAAGCAGTCTCGGGTTTAGGAATAATGGCAGAACTGTCTCTTCAGCTGTTACATAGAATTCACGCTATAATTTTCTCTCTGCAAGTGGCTAAATATCTTGTCACACCACTAAACCATTGTTCCCACATGTTGTGGATTGGGGTGGGGGTGGGGGAACCACCTGTGGAAACAGGAAGGAACAGGCTGAAGGGAAAAAAAGAACCAGTTCTGAGGGCCCGTAATGCAAGAGGGGACCTCAGACAGAGACTGCAATGCTTCAGGCCTTCTACTGGATAGTACTGAACCCATAAACTAGATGCTAAGATGTGCATGAAACTGACCACTCCTAATATGGGGGATACTGCCACACAGGTAACACAGCCCCCCTGTTTAAGTAGCTTTGTGTTGTTTATCATAACTATGCAGTAAGAATATTGAAGAAGCTAGCTATGGATAGTGTAGGTGCTAACAAGAAAAAGACCAGCACGCTAGTGTGGTGGTTCTTAATCTGGGGTCCACGAAGAGGATTTAGAGAGTCTGTGACATGGATGAGAAAAGAATTTTGTCTTTGTTTTTACTAATCTCTACTATAGCACCTCCTCTCATTAGGAAACTAAGCAACAAACCAGTACAATATTATCTGTGCCTAGGACTTTGCCTCAGGAGAAGTCACAGATATTGTCACATCGCATTACAATTGTTGCAAATACCTTAAAATATCATTTACATTTGTCACTACTTAGAAACCCAAGTAATTGTTAGGTCTGCTACTATGCCTTATTATTTAATGTCTTATTATTTAATGCATTGATAAAGCACAATATTGCTCTATATATAACAAATCTGTCTTAAAACAAAATTTTTTTTAATTGGGGAATTGGAACAGTGCTAGGGAATTAGGGGGAGGGGAACAGACAAGTTGCTGTCGTTTTGTTCTTCAGTCTAGTTGTGGAGGACGTTGCTTCACTGGCCCAAGTTGGCACCATCATTGCGCTCTTCCCGGGTGAGGCAGATCAGTCGCTGGCTTCTGGACGGCCGCTCACGGCGGCTGCTGGTTACACACGGTAGCCCATGGCAACCCACTGCAGCAGGGGCTGCAGCCTACGCCGTCGCCGGCGACTCACGGCAGTCCAGCTCCAGGTTGAGCTGTTGTTCAGTATCTTAGCTGTAGAGGGCAGTGTCACTGGCCCTCATATGTGGGATCCGAACCGGGGCCCTCTGGCGTCCCAAGCCAGCTCTTAACGACCACGCCACTCGGCCGGCCCTGTCATAAAAATATTTTGATGATGATTTCCACATAATTGTTTTCCTCTGTCATCCTACGTATGTAATTTTATGAACTGAAACATGTTAATTCTGAGAAAGGTCTGTGAGCTTCAAAAGACTGTCAAAGAAGCCCATGGCACAAAATGGTTATGAACCCCCATGCTCAGGTGAGAGCCAAATGCTATTACCTGCCTAACAGATTCAGAGTACTCAAGTCTTATAACTATATGGGTTCTGTGGCTTGTTTGAAATTAAAAAACAAAAACAAAAAAAACCCTTCACGACTGACATTCCTGCATAAAGAGATAACTTGCTGCAAATCTGCAACTCTTCAGCCTTCTGCCCATTAAAAGTTGTTTGATGCAAGCTGAATAGCTGAGGTTTTTGTAGTAGAGATTCCAGGCAGGTGACTTCTGAAAAGGAAGGTGACCCAAGTCCACCTGGAAAGCGATTTCCGCAACTGGTGGAAGCAAGACAGGCCATGCCGGGAAGCCCCTCTCCTTGGCAAGAGCACCTCCCACCTCATCAACGGCCACAGTCATTGAACCTCAGTCCTGCTCTTACCAAGTCCAGCTCCTGTGTGGTGGTGCAGCAGCTTGCAGAGGAAAAATGCTGCCCGTGTGTACTGTTTCCAGCTTTCCTTCCCATCTGAGCAACAGAGTGGCCACACACTCACTTTTATACTCAGGAAGTAAGTCCAGCCAAGGTCTTCTCAGTTTACAAAACAGGAGGCAGCAGCTATGGCAGCCAAGTACTCGGAGATCTGAAGATGTTAGATTTTCAGAAAACCACGGACATTCATCCAGCCACAGCAGCATCGTCCTGAGATGGTCTCTTTCCACTGTGGCTCTGCCGAAGCAGGAAGCTCCACGAGGCCTGGGAATGGTCCTCAAGCACCTCTGACCCCAGGGCCCACGACACAGCTGGTGTTCTGGTCCATCCTTTATTGACGCTTGCTGGATGCTGAGTCAATAAATGGCTTGTTTTCTTTCTTCTTTGCTTTTCTCTTATTTTCATGGGTTTTATAAAATGTTTTGTATTACTTCTCTAGTGGGATTAGGAAGTTTTTATTTTTTAAAAGGCTGGTTCACAGATGACAGGACAAAGAACTTCTTGCATACAGACCCCAGGGTTGGATGATCCTGGGGTTATGTGCCACAGGAAATGAGAAGAAGCCCAGCCCAGAACTCACCTAGAAGGGGGCGGCATATCTGAGGGGACCTGCCTGAAAGGCAGGCCTAGAGAATCCAGCTAGAGGAGAGGTTTTGGGGTGAGCCAGACACACATCCCCAACAGCTGTGGGAATGGCAGATCCAGAGTTTCGGAAACACCAAGCAAGATAAAGCCAACGGAGCCACCTGTGGGCAGTCCCACCTCAAAGCTCCTCTGGACACCAGGCGGGACCTCATTCTCACACTTAAAGGGACTTAACCCTTCAGTCAAAAAATTGTCTTAGTGTCATACATAACCTGCAGCTTCCCATGGGTTTGAATCCAGATGAAAAGCCGCTGCAAAGCAAAACTACAGGCATAAAGCAAAAAACCAATGTGCCCTCCCCCTACCCCACTCAACATCTGGCCTCACGTGAGCAGCAGACATTTTGTCCTAAAAGAATGGGGCTCCTGCCTAGTTCTTGATACTGTCATTGGTCAGAAAACGAGATGCAGTCTGCAACGCCCGCTTTTCCGGAAGCTCACCTGTTGGCTGGATCAGCACGGCGGCCACATCCACGGCTTTTTCTTGGATTTCCTGCCAGTTGCCCTGCTCTTCGATCCACTCGCTGACGACGCACCTGTAGGTTCCCTGGTCCTCGGCCAGCGCCCGGGACACGGAGAGGCGGTACCCGTCGTTCCCCACCGTGTCCAGCCGCACGTCTCCGCTGTGGTAGCGCTGCTCGTAGCCGGGCCCCGGGCGCAGCCGGCCCTCGTGGGTCAGGGCGAGAACAGTCTGCCGGGCGGAGCGATGCCGCAGCTCCCACAGCAGCGCCAGGTGCGTGTGCAGCGCGGACGCGGTGGAAGCCACGCAGCGCAGCTCGAAGGGCTCACCCTGGCGCAGGCTCAGGCCCGGGGAGGGCGGCGGGCTGGCGGCCACGTGCAGGGCGTCGGCCAGCACTGCAGCGAGAAAACGGACTGTCAACACACCACCCAAGCCCCCACGCCAGCAAGCCCCATCGCCCTTCTGACCTTGACCAAGGCTGTGACCGGGGACAACTTCCTCCTCCCCTTCCCTGTTCGAAGGCCTACATTATCCATGTTGACTTAACTATGACAGCAATTGACTTTCTGACTTGAAGATGAAAAAGAAGAGGCCCTAATAAGACCCCCCGCTGGAAGGGGGGGGTCGTGTGTGCGCACGCGCGCGCATGCTCCCTTTTAGGAGCTGGGCCTTGGAGGTGCACTTCTGCCACTCTTAAGGAACTTACTTTGCCCCTCTGTGCCTCAGTTTCCTCATCCCTGAGAAGGGATGAACACGGGATCTATTTCAGGGAGCTGACTGAGCGTTCCCCAAGTTCTAAGGGAAAGTACCCGGGGCAGTGCTGGCACTTAGCAATCACGATAAAACAACTGGTATTACTGTCAAACACTCCTTTTTTAGGACACAGGGCCAGGGCAGGGAGCCTGAGGGATCTACCCAGAGTTAAAGCAGCTCGATCCACAGCGGGGAGGGCATGGCACGCCTGCCTGTGCCCTGAGCTCTGGGAAATGCCTACGAATGACTAGCGTGGGCAGAGAACATCTGCCGGTGAAGAACCAACCCGTCAGGGAAAACTGAAGCCTCAGCTCTTTGCTCTATCAGGGCCACCTGGGAAAAGGCTGGGCTCTCCTCCAGAGTCTAAAAAAGGGGGCCCCGAGATGAAGGAAGTATGGCGAGTGCTATTTAGGAAGGAAAGCCATAGTGAGGTAACCAGAGAGGGCAGGGAGAGTCTCCCGGGCTTGTCTATGAGCTGGATAAGAGAATCCTCGAACACCAACCACTATTTCCTCTCTTTGGTTTTCACCACCATTCCACACACAGAAACTAGACTGGTGTCTTTGAGAAGGGACTACTCTGGATAACAGAAAAAAACGCTACATCTTTAGACAAGACCCAGCTCCACTGCAAAATGAATCCAGTGACTTTCTAGTATATCAGTCTGTGATTCCAGCTGATATGACTCGGTCCCCAAAGCCAGTTATCCCTCAGGGCACAGATGAACAGCTTCGAGACCCAAGAAGTTCAAAGCCAGACAGATCCAGGACCAGGCACGGCAGCCGCTAGGGCTCCACCTGGGCAGCCAACCAGTCTCTTTCGTGGGCCCTCCATCTGCTTTCCTGACCCAAGGAAGGCCTCTCCTTGCTCCTGCCTTCTAAAGACGGGAAAAACGGAAAGACACGGGGGGCGAGGCGGAATTCTCCTGCCGCCCCCAACTCCTCAAGGTGAGAATTACAAGCGGACACACGGTGCATCTGACCTCATGGGGGTGTAGCATGCGTGTGCTGACTGTAAAAGCAACGCATCATTTAACTGCAGGGCAAGAATGTGTTATGGGACTTTTTTTCTAAAAAACATCTGGGATTTTCTATAGGAATAGGAAGAGGCAGATTTCATGTTTTAATACCTACATGATGGACATAGCTGTTTTATCCCCTCATGAGTCAAATGGGGGGACAGTATCTGAGCTATGGGAGGGTTCTACAAATCATTTTTATAATCATCATGCTCATTGTCTATGTTCCTGATCCTTAAATACACTCCTACCCTGACATAAATTATTTTTTGGAACAAGGCAGGGTACAAATAAATGCATAATGAAGTAATAAAAATAACGACGATAATAGTGTTTCTATTTTGCTATCCCCAAACTAAAATTTTTGTTCTTGCTCATTTACTAATTAGCTGTGATTTTAGGCAAGTAATTCATGTATGCTCTTCCATTTCCTCATGCATAAATTAAGGAAATATTCTGCCCTATTTTTCTTCATTGGATTCAGAGAACTGAATGTGTGAGTAAATCTAATTGGACCTGGAAAATGGAAAAAACAAACAAAAACACTGCAGCTATACATGGTGTGATTACTTGCATAGCCAGGCCAAAGCTTACAATGTCCCATCATAAGCTAGCAGTGACCACATCACTTTCTCAACATACTGTATTTCCCCAAAAATAAGACCTAACCAGAAAATAAGCCCAAGCATGATTTTCAAGGTGCTCATAAGCCCTACCCCAAAATCTTACCCCGGTTAAGATCATCAGCCAGACATGACTGTATTTGAATAAATGTGGATTTTTGTACATGAATAAATGAATGAAATACGTCTTTTGGAGCAAAAGTAATATAAATCTTATTTTTGGGGAAACACGGTATAACCCATACAGCTTACCAGGGCTCTCTACCACGACACCCGCCAGGGGATGGCTCAGAACTATAGTTGAGTGAAGAGAAAGGGCCCTCCAAGGCCACCTGGCCCATCTTCTGCTTTTGAGCAGGTAAAATACTATTACTCCATTGGACAGAGGAGGGAGCAGAGCCCCAGAGGAGTTAAGTTTCTTGACAAAGTCACTCACAGCCAAGTGGCAGAGGAAAGTCTGGGCACTGGCATGACCACCCTCCACCCCACCCCCACCCCCTCATCCCCCCCATGAGGATGTACCTTTCACCTGCACTGTATCCTCATAGTTGCCCTGGACAGTGGCGTCCGTGCTGGGGGTTGAGCATTTGTAGTGGCCTTGGTCTGAGGGCTGGACGTTCTTTATGTGGAGTTCCACGGCATCGTTGGCTGTTCGCCTCAACAGGATCTCACCCCTCTGCAGGCGCTCCTGATACAGCTGGGCCGGGAAGCCCACCTCCCAGGTGCTAGCGAGTTCTACAAAGCTGCTCCCCGAAGACGAGAAGCTCCAGTCAAAGTTTTGCTCGCTCGGGCCATCATAGTCGCTGACGTTGCAGGGGATGACCAGCTCGGTGCCCACCACCCGCGCCAGGCTCCCAGCGGGGACTCTCACCACGCGCCCTCGACAGAGAGCTGCAATGACAAGAATGAAAGGGGGGTCTTGGATCACGCCAGGTCTTCCAGGAATAAATGCAGTCGCTCCTGTTTGCAGGCACATGGCAGAAATCTGACAGCTGAGCACCTGGGGAAAATGGTGTCCTGCCTGTGCGTGTACAGAAGGAGGTAAAGCCCATCTCTGGACCCATGAGTGAGGAGTCCACCCCTGAAACGAGTACCTCTCATTCATCAGTTTCCTAGGTGACAGGGAGGAAGATAAACGTGAAAAGTAGGCTAACTACAAACCCGTATAAATTCTTCCCTCCCGTTACTATGTAAAATCACCACTCAATGTGATGTAGAAGTATTTTAGGCTTGGTGTGAAAGAAAAGGACACAGCTAATCAACTATTTACACTTCTGTCCACCCAGTATCAGCCCTCATCCCTAGAGACCATTCCCTGGGGCTCCTGAGACCTGATTTACATTGACAGACGCCAATTTTTAAATCTTAGAGCAGCCTGCTGATAAAATGATTTAACTCCGATTATCTGACATTGCCTATAAATTAATTTTAAAATATGACAACTCTACCAAGTATTAATTTTCTATTTTCTGGCTCATTTCCTTCTCTCTACTCTTCACCCTGCTCTAAATTCAGAATGAGGATAGGAAAGCACAAAGGGAGAGCGCACCTCGACTGGCGGGTTGCTGGGCTGGGTACTGTTAGGAATGGAGCAACGCAACTCACTGGGGCCAAAGCCAGTGGACAAAGCCAAGCGTTCAGTGGCATCTTTGTCTCCAGAACGCATGCCTCACATGCCTCCGGTAGGGCCCCGAGGGACCGCCACCTGTGTGACCTTTAAGATGTCTTCATTGCAATGAAATTCTACACAATTCTGTCATGTGCTCACTATCCGTGTTTAGCATTGCAATTCAGACCAAATGGACTCGTACGGCTCCTCCTTGATGGTCTATAAATAAGCATAGCACTAAGGTCCACAGGAGAGAGCGTGGGCTCTGAAACTGAGGAGACCTCGGTTTGAACCAGAAAGACCTCTCAGCTTTGGCTTCTTCAACCATAAAACGGAGCAAGAAAGGTCCCCCGAGCTGATGACATACAACGCCTCACTGAGTCGGCCATGTAGTAAGAGCGCCATAAAATGGGAACTTCTGTGGCTTACTTTCAATTTTGTGTGTTCCCTGTGGGTTGAACTGAGTCCCCCTCCCTCCTAAAATTCATATGTTGAAGTCCTAGCTCCCAGGGCCTCGGAATGTGACCTTATTTGGAAATAGGGTCATTGTAGGTGTAATTATTTAAGTTGTGATGAGGTCATACTGAAATAGAGTGGGCCCTTATTCAATGACTGGTATCCTTACAAGGGGCAAGGTTTGAACACAGCCACACACACACACAGAGAACAGCATGTGAAGACAACGGCTGAGAAGGGGGTGGTACATCTACAAGCCAAGGAATGCCAAGGAACAGCAAAGATTGCCAGCAAACCCCCAGAAAATCGGGGAGAGGCCTGGAAAAGATTCTCCTTCATACCCCTCAGAAGGAACCAGCCCTGCCGACACCTGGACTTCTAGTCTCCAGGACTGTAGGACAATAAATATCTGTTGTTCAAGCCACCCAGTCTGTGGTACTTTGTCGCAGGAACCCCAGCAAACTAATACCCAATTGTTGCTTGTTTCTCAGTGGTTTAATTCATGTTTTTCAAACTCTGGGTTGCCACCGTTTTGTGGGTTGTAAAATGAATTTATAGTAGTTACGATCAGCATGTGTGTATGTTTTTTAATGACAGTCAACAGAAGAGAAAATATTGGAGTCCATTACCCTTAGTAAGATGCAACTGTGTCTCATTAAGTGTCATTAGGTAAACAAAGGTATGTGTATACCAGATTATGAGGAAAATCTTTTCTCCTGATTTGTGTCATGAAAAATGTGGAAAAATGCTTTTTTCAAGCCTGCTCTTGTTTTCTCCACCCATTATCATTTACTGTGAGAAGGAAAACAGGGAATTTCCGTATGAGAAACAGTGATGGAGTCAGTGGGCGCCCAGAGCCGGGGGCTGGCTGGCTGCCGTCTCCTCCCAGCCCAGCCCGATCAGGTCCAGACTGTTGTCCAGCTCTAAGAAAAGCTGCTGCACCCTAAACCACTCCCCTTAAAAACAAAGTGATTGGTACTGGTAACTCAGAACTGTGGGTCACATGTCTTCCCACAGAGAATAGTACTACCATGTTTCCCCGAAAATAAGACCGGGTTTTATATTAATTTTTGCTCCAACAATCTATATTTATTCATTTACTCATGCACAAAAATCTACATTTATTCAAACAGTCATGTCTGGCTGACGGTTTTTACTGGGGCTTATGTTTGGGGTAGGACTTATATTATGAGCATCCTGAAAAATCATGCTAGGGCTTATTTTCCAGTTAGGTCTTATTTTCGGGGAAACATGGTACCAACCCCAGATACTCTCAAGGAGTAGTGCTGTAACACACTGCAACTTCCTTCCTAAGGTGACGCAGCACCTACAGGATGACGTCCATGACCTCATGCCTAGCACTTCCGGCAAAGGCTCATGCGTGGGTGCTACCCAGCATTCCTTAAGTGCCCCTCAGATGGGGCTGACCCTGCACCCCCAGTCCCTGGGATGGACACTGAAACCAGGTAAATCAGAACCCTCCTACCTCATTCTTGCTGAAAACTGTCAGGAAGACACTTTTCATTTCCTCTGGAAACAGGGTACTATAAAAATGATTTGCTCTGAAGCAGCACGTGGGCAGCCCTCCTGACGAGGTGAGAAAGCTGTCTACAGTAGAAGGGACCCAGGCCAATGAACGCCAGAACCAGAGAGAACGTGCCCTAGTGACCTGATGGCATCATCTGAGCCACTGGGTCCAGCCATACCTTCTAAATCATTCCACGCTCATCCAGACACCACATACATACACACACACACACCCCTTTTCCTGGACACTTTAGTTTCGTGCAATTCTATTCACCCCCGCTTGCTCCTTAATCTAATTCCTGTCACTGGCAGCACAGGATGTTGAAATAACACATAAAGACCCAGCAGTGAAGCCATCATCACCACAGTTCACAAGGGAAATAGCTGATCTCTTTTTTTTCTGCTGTAGAGATTCAGGCATTTGTGAATCTCCCCAAGAAACCTTTCACAAGGAAGAGTCACGGTGAACATCCATTCATAAGAGGCCACACAGTCTTGCGTGCCTCCTTGTGCCCAAGTTTCCTCCTCTGTGAAATGGACATGATAGTCACCACATGCTCCAACCTTTGGACTGTCTGAGGATTAAACTATAAAACTCCAGACAGGGCTGACACGTGGTAAGGGTGTGTGGCTATCCACTTTGCAGGCCACCTCATCACAATCATTGACTTGACTTCCTTGGCAAGGTTTCCTAAAGTGTAAATCTCTTCAATTCTTATCCCTTGCCAAGAAGTTGACCAGGGTTGACAACTGCCCAATGGGGCCCTCAGGCATGAGATTACATCCTTTGTAGGGTCCCTATCTTTATTCTTAGTGATTGGAGCTTGGGAAACTGACCCAGCGCCTTGTCTCAGCTCTCCAATCCTGCCTCCGCATCGCTGCCAAAAATCACCTTTTTAACACACAAATAATACCATGTTTTCCCCAAAATAAGACCTAACCAGAAAATGAGCCCTAGCATGATTTTCAGGGTGCTCATAATATAAACCCTACCCTAAAATAAGCCTCAGTTAAGATTATCAGCCAGACATGACTGTATTTGAATAAATGTAGATCTTTGTACATGAACGAATAAAATGCACCTTTTGGAGCAAAAATTAATAGAAGACCCGGTCTTATTTTCGGGGAAACACAGTGTGTCACTTCCCTGGTCCAAAGCCTTGACTGGCTCATCGCCTGCAGGCACCTATCTTCCAGACGCCCTGCTGCCACCACCCTGGCCCACGCCACTGACCCTCTCACCTAATGTACTCTTGTGCAACAGCCTCCCAGCTGGCCTCCTGGCTTCCACTCTTGACCTCTACTCAACACAGCAAAGCGGCCTTTTAAAAATTTAAGTTGTATTATGTCATTTCTCCGCTCAAAACTCTCCAGTCACTCCCCATCTCACTCAGATAAAAGCCAAAACCCTCGGAGAAGCCATCAAGGCCTCAGAGAATCAGGCCCTCTGTGTTTCTCGCACCTCCTGCTCCCTCCATTACACATCAGCCATGTTTTCCTCCCCATGTTTCTAGAGGCCTGCTGCAACCTCGGGGCTCGCACATTTCCTCAGTCTGGGGCACCCTCAGACTCACCCCTGGGCTCCTTCACCAGCTTCAGATCTCTACTCCAACGTCACCTTCAGAGCGAGGCCTTTCCTGACCACCTGAAACTCCCCTCCCCCCCCGCCCATTCTTGCTCTGGCCAAATTTTCTTATTCTCATTTATCACTCACACACTTTATATGTATGTATATATTTTTTACAATCATTTATTGTCTGTCTCTTCCCACTAGAATCTAAGTTCCATTTGAGCAGTGGTTTTCGTCTGTCTTGTTCACTGCTGAATGCCAGTGACTAGAACAGGGCCTGGTACACAGTAGTTGTTCAATAAATGTTTGCTAAATGAGTGACTGAAAAAAAGGCATGAAAGATGATTCACGGTCTGGGCCACCGCTAGCATTCCAGCTTCTCCTACCATTCTCCCACCTTGTAACGCTTATGCCCCCAACAAAACAAATGACCCCTTCGTTTTCTGGAAACACAGTGCTGTCTTGCGCCCCCATGGGCTCTGCTTCTGTGCCTCCTGGAATAACCTCCCAGCAATCTCCTCATCCTCTTGCAAGAAGCAGCTCCAGCACCACCTTGGCTGTGAAGCCTTCCCCCATCTCCCCTGGGATCACTTAGGCACTCCTGCCTCCATGTTCCAACTCAACCTGTGAAAGTGCCTTCGGTGCTGGCTATGTTATAGTGCCGCTGGGACAAGTAAAGCAGATATGAACAGATGCCAGAAAGATCAAACTCTAATCTAAAAAGATATA